GTGTGTGTGTGTGTGTGTGTGTGTGTGTGTGTGTGTTCAGAAGCTACGTGTGGATTCAAACACACAGAGAAGGCAGGAGACAGATGATGCAAGCTCTTTGTAGTATTTCCAAACAGCAGCTGTAATTTTCTCCACCTGCTAAGGCCGCAATTTATTGCATCACTCAGCAGCTTTAAATGCCTAATAAGCCACAAAAATGTCAATCAACCACCAAGTATCAGCAGGTACAGTTCGAGTGTAGCCAAATGACTCTACAAAACAAATGTCCTGATGAAAGCTTGAAAAGCTGTGGTAGTGTTATGGGCTTTAGATAAGTTCAATACAAGCTAAATGTGTGTTGTGGTGTTTGCATTAGCTGAAGGCGATTAGTCCTGGACGAGTTTTGTAATATGTTTGGATGGAGCTGTAAGATGGCTGGCACTTCCAATTTCTCTTATTAAAGAGCTTACATCTCTCTCTTGTGGATAAAACAGGGTACTGCAGTGCCTCCTGACAGGCTTTCTTACCCAAATCTAACTATATTTTTAACTTTACATTTTATTTTGAACTGGTTAAAGGTTTGAAAGTTGCCCTGTTGTTAAATAATTTATGTTGACTTGTGCTTTTCAGCTCCTATTTATTGCAATGATCCTCTAAAACCACAATCAAAGTGGAGGAATAAACACACACATCAATAAATGCTATGAATAGACAAATCTGTAATATGGGATAAATATGTACTGTCGATGGGGAAAAAGTATTTACTTTAGTGTGATGTTAAGCTTAACTAGTTTTTATAAATTTACAGAAGTCCAACCTTCAGGATGGACACAGAATTGTAAGAAAGTAAGTAAACTTTATTTATATAGCACCTTTCACAGGTCAGAAACCATCAAGTGCTTTACAACTTAAAAACACAAGAGACAAAACTGGACAGATAAAACAAACATACATGTGATAAAAATGTTACATGGGTATAAAAATATTAAACTAATAACTAATTAATTAAAAGTCAATCTGAACACATGACGTTAGAACCCTAAACCAGATCAGAAGTTTCCTTGCATTACCAAATACATCTATACAGACGCTGTTATGTTTTAACCACAGTTTTCTGCCTCGTTGGCAGGATAAAACTTACCACGACTGGAAGGAAAGGGGGTTGGTGTCAATTAAGGACTTGTATATTGGCAACAAGTTTGCATCATTCAGCCTATTGAAAGAAAAATATAATCTGCCCCATTCACACTTCTTCTGATATTTGCAGGTCAGGCACTACGTGAAATCAAAGATTCAGAACTTCGACACTCTTCCGATTGAGCACGGCCTTGTTGACATGCTAGGGAGCCCCCCCCCCCCGACGCAAGACATCTTATTACAAGAATTATACATCTATTTGGTGACCGAACGGTGGCACACACCACAGAAATGAGGGAGGCCCGGGGAAAGGAGCTGGGGTTAACAATCCCTGAACCCTTGTGGAACAGGTGCCTTTCTAAAATCAGCTCCTGTTCAATAAACAGCAGGCACCAGTTAATTCAGTTTAAAATCACCCATTGGTTATACTATTCAAAGGTCAGATTGCACAAGATTTACCCCTCTGTCTCTCCAATGTGTGACAGGTGTAACATGTCTGAAGGCACACTGTCTCATGCTTTTTGGTCTTGTCCTTCACTAACTGGTCTTTGGTCAAAAATATTTGACTGGTACTCCAAGGCATATAAGACTCTCTTACAACCTGAACCAGGACTTATAGTCTTTGGATGCCCTCGGGTGCCGGGGACTACACCTGCTATAACGCGGCAGCCACTAGAACTGGGACTGATTGTTGCCAAGAGACTAATCCTAAGAAACTGGAGGTCCTCTGTTCCTCCTTCCTTCCACCTGTGGGTGACAGACATGATGTCCATGATACAGATGGAGAGACTTCGGAAAGGCTCTAAAGACACTTTCTCATGTTACTGGACTCCCTTCTTGGAACACTTTTCGAAGACCAGACTAAGCTGATCAAACCTGTCTATGGTCACTCCCCTCTGTCACCCTCCTGTGTATGTGTACCCTTGTATGTGACCATGTACATGTGCTGTGTGGGTATATATGTCAACTGCAATGGTTTATGCTTTGACCTGTGCATCTGGGCTTTGTTTTGTCTGTTTAATTGTACATTCTAAACTTTGAAAACTTAAAATAAAATTTATAAAAAAAGTCAATCTGCACAAATGTGTCTTCAGCTGCTTTTTGAAAGTTTCAAGAGAATCAAGGCAGCGCAAAGTTACAGGCAGTGCATTCCACAGCCTGGGGGCCACGGCCCTAAAAGCTTTATCCCCTCTAGTCTTGAGATTAGTCCGTGGAACCATTAACAACCTTTGACTGGAAGATCTGAGGCTGCGAGAAGAGGAGTCGGGCTCTAGAAGGTCAGAGATATAGACTGGGGCTTGACCACACAGGGCTATAAGGTAAGAACTAAAAATTTAAAAAGAATTCTAAAATGGTCCGGCAGCCAATGTAAAGAGATTAAAACTGGAGTTATGTGTTGTGTTTTCCTTGTGTTGGTTAAAAGCCTTGGAGCAGCATTCTGGACTGTCTGCAAATGGTCGAGGTCCTTCTTATTCAAACATGTGAAAAGACTGTTACAATAATACAGATGAGATAGAATAAAAGCATGGATAATCATCTCCATTTCAGCTTTTGACACAAGAGACTTGAGCCTAGAAATATTGCTGTTGAAAAAAGCAGTTTCGGATTAATCCATGAGAATGACACTGCATTGACATGGCAGAGTCAAAAATAATACCAAGGTTTCTAAGGCTTGGTTTAACAGAGGAAACTAATACACCAAGGTGTTGCTTGATTTCAGTTACTGTATTTTCCGGACTATAAGCCGCAACTTTTTTCCTGAACTTTGAACCATGCGGCTTATACTCAGCTTAGCCTGTTAGCCTTTGCGCTAGCACCGACGCAATACTGCCTTATATGTATTAGCTCGGTGCTAGTGCGACAAACAAGCTAAACTGAGGTCCTCCATCCATATTTTCAGTTACAGCTGAGTCATTTTTGTGTTCTCCTCTCTGTCATGTGGATGGAGGACCTCAGTTTACGAGAGGAGAATGTGTAGCGCTGAGCTAATACATACAGTGGCTGTGTCCAAAACGACAGGCTGGGTCCTCCGGAGGACCCAG